AGCCATTGAACCAGTACCTCGGGAACAGAGGGGACGGGGATTTTACTCCATTCTGTTCATGGTCCCCAAGGCCTCAGGCGGTTGGAGAGCCATATTGGATTTAAAGGGGCTCAATTACTTCCTAACCTACAGGAGATTCAAGATGCAGTCCCTCAAATCCATTCTGGCCAGTATCAGGAAAGGGGGATTTCCTATCTTCTATAGACCTGACAGAGGCATACCTCCACGTCCCTATCCTCCCACAACACCGCAGATTCCTCCGGTTTTGTTATGTGCACCAGCATTATCAGTAACGCTGGTGCACGTAAAAGCCCTTTGGGCTTTCATCGGCTCCTCGGGTGTTCACAAAGATATTGGCAGTTTTGGCAGCCCATCTCAGATTAATTCTGGTGCGCGTACAATGATACCTGGACAATATAATTATCCAATCCAGTTCTTTCCGTTCCACCCAATCAGACCTACAACTAACAATCAATACTCTTCTGGAACACGGATTTTCCGTGAATTTCAAGAAGAATCACACAACACCTTCAACTCGCCTCCTTCACCTAGGGGTGACAAGAACAGTATAAGGTCACTTGTCCACAGGATACGGAGAGAGAAGGTGGTTCCACTGGTCCAGCTGTCTCAGCTGTTGGGAAAGATGGTTTCCTGTCTGGGCATCATTCCGTGGGCCAGACTACATTCCAGGGTCCTCCAGTATTTCCTTCTTCCCTTCCAGAAGCGGAACATGAGTGCTTACACAAGGAAGGTGAGGGTTCCACATCACACACTGTTGTCTCTTCTGTGGTGGACGTCGTCAGCAATGAACAGGGGATCGCTATTCAAGGAGCCTCCCAGGCTCACCTTGACTACGGATGCCAGCCTGTTTGGCTGGGGCGCTCACCTACACAGGGTCAATGATCCCAGTCAGATTTATCGCACAACATGAATTGGCTGGAACTCAGAGCAATCCATCTGGCACTCCGTCAATTTGCCGCCCTTGTGGCGGGAAAACACATTCTTATTCTGATGGACAACGTAGCAGCCAAGGCCCATGTCAACAGGCAAGAGGGGACTCGGTTGTGGGCTCTCATGTCGGAGGCCCTGGGGCTGTGGGCAGAGTCCAACCTGGAATCTATCAGTGCGGAGCACATAATCTGGGGAAGTGAATCGTCAAGCTGATTCACTGAGCAGGGTTACGGTAGACCACTCGGAATGGCGCCTGGACCCAGCCCTGTTCAGGGAAATCTCGGACAACCACAAGTGGATCTGTTCACCTCCCCGACAAACTCCCAACTCCCCAGGTACTTCACAAGGTTTCCCTCACCGGGGGCAGAGGGAACGGATGCTCTCCGCAGCAATTGGCCCAAAGGGCTCCTTTATGCCTTTCCTCCGCTTCCCCTAATTCCAATGACTATCCGCAAGCTTCTCCAGGAACAGGCGGAAGTTATCTTAGTTGTCCCACACTGTCCAAGGCGACCGTGGTTTGCTGACCTCATGGACTTGTCTCTCTCCCCATCATGGAAGATCCCACCGGGCTGCGTCTCTCTCAGTCAAGGGAGATTTCAACACCCAGACCCCCAGTGGCTTCAACTAGCCGCTTGGCACTTGAGCAAGAGAGTTTAGCCAGGCAGTCCTATTCGTCTGGGGTGATCTCCGTGATCCAAGCCGCAAGGCGACCCTCGACCAATAGGATCTATGATGCCATGTGGAAGAATTTCTGCACATGGTGTAATACACATAATCTTAGACCATTGGAAGTCACTATTCCTGACATTTTAGACTACCTTTTGGAGGGCCTGAATAAGAGTCTATCACATAGTACCATCCGCAGACAGGTTGCGGCCTTGTCAACAGTTCTCACATGTGACAATCTAGTCCCATTATCACTGCGGTTGCTGCCTTTCTAAAAGGGGTGGTTAACGTTAAGCCTCCTGCGGTGCATCACTATCCCTCATAGGACTTACCTACGGTGTTACAGGCCCTCATGACGTCACCGTTCGAACCCATCCAGTCTTGCTCACTTCACTTCCTTTCTCTGAAGGTTGCCTTTCTGGTAGCCATCACATCGGCAAGACGTATTTCGGAACTGGCCGCTCTCTCGGTCAGAAGCGACCTGTGTATTTTTCTGGATGACAGAGTGGTCCTTAGATTGGACCCTTCTTTCATTCCAAAAGTCAATACCTGGTTCCATAGGTCTCAGGATTTGATTCTTCCAGACTTTTGTCCCAACCCGTCACATTGCTTGGAGAGGCTGTGGCACAAGTTAGACGTGCGCAGGGCTCTGTACCACTATGTTAAGCGCACTGCAGCTTTTCGCAAGTCGGAGGCCCTGTTTGTGTCTTTCCAGCCCTCTTCCATGGGTAAGAAGGTATCGTCTTCAACCATTGGAAGATGGATCAGGGCTTGCATCGCTCACGCCTATAGATCCCAGTCTCTCCCAGTGCCTACGAACGTCACTGCTCATTCCACGCGCAGTGCGGCCACATCAGCGGCCTGGTCTACCCAGGCTTCTGTTGAGGAGATCTGTAGGGCAGCGACCTGGTCATCTCCCTCTTCGTTTATAAGGCATTACAAACTTGATAGGTTCGCTGCGGCGAAGGCCTCATTTGGTAGAAGGGTTTTTGCAGCAGGTAGTTTCCTCACAAGGGACACATGCCTAGACTTTCCCTCCCCATAGGGACATGGATGGCTTTGGTATGTCCCACCGGTTGATGCTACATTCATCATGCTGGAGAAGGGGCATTGTCTTACCTGAACGCCTTTTCTCAGCATGATGATGTAGCATCCACACCCGCCCTTGACAGGCAGTCTAGGCAGGTGTAGTTACAGGAGGAGCCATTGCGTCAGACTTCGTCATGGATGCTTCGCCTCGTCAAAACTGGGGAAGGCACCGCCCAAGGGAGGTGTGGCTAAAGTTCTGACTTAGTCTCATCTGAGCAGGAAGGTTGAGATTACCCACCGGTGGATGCTACATCATCATGCTGAGAAAAGGCGTTCAGGTAAGACAACGCCCCTTTTGTAGATCTGCCCCTAATAACTCACTTGAGCTGTTGGCCCTTTTTATTTAAATTGACCATCAAACCAGCTCTCACCCAATTAATGGCCAAACTTCCATAAATTAACTGGTTCTTAGCATAGATGTTTCATTGGTCGCTTAGTAATAAGCTTGTTTTCTGGGACATCTTCCCATGGATTAGAAATATATTTTTAATGTCATGAATTTCCTTACAAGAGGAGTGCTGGTTCCCACATTGAATAAATTTTGCCTTCACCATAATTTTCATTTGTTTAACTTTGTTTCTATTACAGTACTTTTTTCAAATTATATTAAATATAATCCCTAATGATGCACTAAACATCTAAGATTGTCAAAGGGCAACATTGCTCTTATACATGCAGATTCCTAAGAATCTATTCATAGAAACTAACACTCTGTTGAATGCAGCAGGTACGGAGTCCATAACGGACATTGAAATAGAAGCAAATGGACATCATGGGGCCCTTATTTCATATTCAGTAGTAATGGTGCAGCCCCAGAAATTCAGTATGAAAAACAACGAACATCAAATTCCAAATGGAGGAACCCCCAAGAAAGATAATAGCAATTGCTCAGCCTCAAATCATAAAAATTGCATGGGGCATTTCAGAAGTTGAGCATAGTGGATTGGTACTTTGCATACTAGCATTAAAGCAGATTGAAAATATTGTGCAACATCAATAGCAATGTGATTGCCTAGCCTTGATCCTGACCAGTTTCCTTTGTTCAGCCAAAAAATTAGATATTGGAGGAATACACAAATCGTGGCTTGCTGTTTTTCATGTTTTAGTCAATTCCCTTGTTTTTAATAGGCTGTCTGAATCAATCTATTTGATAAACTAAATTGTTCTAAAAAAATCAGTACAGCACAAAATTTCCTTAGTGAGTTGATATCTTGCCTGGCATACCCACCTGTATGTTAAATTGCCACTTCTTTATATAATTCTATGTCAGCGGTTCTCAATCTTCGTGTGACGGCGACCCCTGTCACACGGACGCGCTGTGCATGCGCATGCACGGTGCCCCCATGTGCGGCGTGCCTGCGCGCCGCCACCCCATGCGCGGCACGCATGCGCGCCGCCACCCCATGCGCGGTACGCATGCGCGGCGGCGCCCCCTGAGGGGGGAAAATGGCGGATCACGTTGTTTCGCGACCCCCGTAAAATGGTCGTTCGACCCCAAATGGGGTCGCGACCCATAGGTTGAGAACTGCTGTTCTATGTCATTGGATTAGTTGCATACTGGAAATTAGTGGGAAACAAGCAGGAAGTTGTGAAAGCTGTTAATCACATGGAGTTCCTGCCAACAAGAGAGGTAGATTTATTGCTTTGCTAAATGAGGATACAGTTGATCATGGGAAGATGTGGTATGTGGATACATTGATATTGAGAACAGCTTGCCAAGAATTTCTGTAAGATATGCTTAAATGCTGCTACATTATTATTTCTTTGTAAGAGAAATTCACTGTGAAAAATGATGAAAGACATATAGCACATCAATTCTTTTTGCTTGAATCATTCTTTATTAGTTTAAATAAGATCAGGTTTGTTTGCAAGATTAATGTCTGGCCTGCCATGTTTATTGGTTGGATCTATTTTAGATAAATGCCAGAACTCTAGCTTTGGTTGCTGGGATTGGAGTTTGGAAAGATGTGTCTTACCAGTTTCATCTGTGAGCCAGTAGTGATTGACAAAAATAGTCATAAGAAATTGAAAATTGGGGGGTGGGGGCTGGATAGTTAACTGAGCAGAAACTGGAATCTGTGACGAATAAAAATAAATAGTTGGATTGGAGGTTTCTTTTTAAGCATTGGAAGTCTTGATTCTCAGTTTTCTCTCCTAAGAAAGTGGAATAAAGTAAGTTATATTCAACTTTTCAGTTCAGAGAAATGTAAACCTATCCTTGCCAGATACATAGAAAATGAATTTCTTTTCGTGTTATAAAAGAGCAGGTATTATTATTATTATTATTTTTACAGAGAAATAAAACAATAGCATTGCATTTGGAACACCAGGATATAGAATAAATAATCTGTTGTCCTGCAGAGAAAATGGCTAGTCTTCCATTAACCAAGACTGCACAAAAGGATGAAATACAGATTTGTATCAAGGAAACAAAAGAGCCCCTCTCATTTCCACTGTTGTGATGAAAAACATTTTGTTAGCAGATCATAAGTAAGCATTTATGTATTTTAATTTATCCTTTTCTGGGGAGAAAACACAAAGGGAAAATTACCCTTTACTGTTTGATAGTTGGTTAGTGGAAATAATTTTGCTAGTGTGTAATGATTATGAATCATATCTTCTCATCTCAACCTTACAGATGGCAACAGACCTGTGTGTTTTAACTGGTAGTTTTCGATCAATGTTAATGGTTTAACATAAAAGTAACAGAATTTTGTAATAAGATAATATCAGCCCAATACAGATGACACCACTAAGTCTGAAATTCTACAAATTGTCCTTGGAATAAGTTATTATAAATTCAGTGGATCTAATTCTGTGATATGTATGAGAAACTATTATAAGGATACTAGCCAGTTGATCATTTAAATACATTTTTGGAATATATTAAAATATGCAGTATTTAACTTGAATAAATTGCTTGTTTAAATTATAGAGGTAATGAAGAAGACATGCATCCAACCAAGATGATGAAAAAGAAATATGGTACACTTATACTTTATTTCAAAAACTCGTTTCCTAAGAAGACATTGAACAGCAGAAATGACAAGTGCACATTGTGCACACATTAGGTAACGCTACTATACAAATAAAACACATAGAAATCAGTATGGGGAAATGTAAAATGTTAATAAATAAGTAACTAGTAAAGGACTGGAAAAGGAGTATACAGTGTGGTAATTGTTTTGGAAATAATAAGAAACTTAAGGGGGGGGAATCTAAAAATTAAAACAAATATGGGAAAAATATTTTTCTGTTTTCATATAGGAGAGGCCTAGGCATTCTTTAAGATCCTTGAAGTATTATTTGAAGCACCAAAAAGCGTAGTGGTGGAAACATTGTCTTATCAGTTCTTCTTTATATAGAATGTTTAACTTAATATTTCCCCTTAGTGATAACTTAGTTATATATAATAACTTAGTTATAAATTATTATATTATTATTATGCATAAGTGACTAATTCCTCCAACTGCTGTGCTAACAGGATGTTGTGTTTTACAATCTGGTACATTCCTGCATAATTTATCTTCTAATAACTACATAAATAATTCTAACATGTTCAGGCAGATATAGGTAGTCCCCGAGTTATGTTAGTTCACTTAGCGGCCATTTGAAGTTACGCGATAAATGCTCCCTAATATTTACAAACAAGTCCCAAAATTAACTAATGTTGCAGCACCATGGCAGTTGTTTGCCCTTACAAACGACCGCAGAGGCTCTCCAACATTCACACTATTCCCCCCCAGCTCCCCACAACTGCTTCCCCCTCCCATCCTGCCACGCCAGACTCACTTACCTTGCAAAGATCTGTCACCTCTCTGCCGTGGTTTCTTTGCCTTTGAGGGAAAGGAGAGTCAGCTTGTAAATGCTTTTCGTGCCGAGAGTGAAAGGTCCTGAGGGCCACAATCTCACGCGACTTGAGGCACCCATTCTGATGTGTGCCTGAAGTCACGTTAGATCATGGCCCCCAGAACATTTAACTCCTGTCACGAAAAGCACTTGCAAGCCGATTGTGTTGCTCCCAATATCCAGCCAGTTTGCAAATGCTTTTCACGCTATGAGTGAAAGATTCTGGGTGCTGTGATCTCACGGGTCTTCAGGACACAAGATCATGGTGCCCAGAAGCTTCCAGTCTCCTGGCAAAATGTTTGCAAGCTGACAGGAGGCGTTGGGTCAGCAAAATCGCTGCCTCAAAGCGTCTGACCAGTTTGCAAACACTTTGGGCGCCAAGACTGGAAGCTTCTGGGTGTCATGATCTTGTGGCCTAAAGTCCCGTGAGATCACAGCATACAGAACCTTTTACTCGCAGCGCGAAAAGCATTTGCAAGCTGGTCAGATGCTTTGAGGCAATGATTTCACTGACCCAAATCCTCCTGTCAGGTTGCAAACAGTTTGTGTAGAGACTTGAAGTTTCTGGGCACCATGATCTTGTGAGGCAGAGAGGCTGGGGAGGAGACACCTGGACAGGAGACAGCTAGCTAGGTCTTTGCAAGGTAAGTGACCCGGCACGGCAGGATGGGGGTGGGAAGCAATTGTGGGGAGCATGAGGTATCTCAGTGGGTCAGGGGAGGCCTTGGGTGGTCTTAAGCAGGTGGTCTATTCCATCACTAGGCACCCCATGGCCTTCCCCATCCTGAGATACCTCATGTTCACTTAATGACCCGCGCATTTGATTAGCGAAAGCAGGGAGTGATGGTGTTCAAGGTATGCAATTTACTCCTACGAATCCTTGAGTTACAAATGGAATGGGCAGGCTCCATTACATTCGTAACTTGATGACTACCTGTATAAGGAACATGCAAACTTGCTGGCCTTTGAACTCTGTCGATGAACTCTTCCTAGCTATACCCTATACCCAAAACTGAAACCCTTGATTAGCCTGGCCCGAGGATACTTGCATTATTTAGTCAAGCCTGCTTAATATCCTAGGTGACAAAAGTGACAGTGGGGAACTGTCCAACTTGAGTAAATTGAACACTATATGCACCTGTCTCTATGTCTGACAGTGAACAAAATCAAGGGTCATGTGTGTCACCCCTCCCGACTTCCCAGGTGCACTTTTGAAATAAGGGACTAGACAGTTACTCTTCCATATTTTAGATATAAATTTAACAATGTACAATATAAGATAGCATGCAATAAACACAATTAGCATTAAATTAATATTTAAATTATATTGATATAATTAAACTCAACAAACAGTAATTATCTTATGTAAGTATGGATGTAGAAGAACTCTGCTCAGAAAGCCAATCATCAGGAATAACATTTATTTAAAAATTTCTGTGTAGTGCCTAAAAAGGGTTGAAAACACCAGAGAGGTGTTGTCTATATATTGCATTTTTGTAATCATCTTGAGTCACATGAAGGCAATTTACAAATTTTTGTGTGTATAAATACATGGAAGTGTCACCATAGTCATCACCCTCTATCCAGTTGCTAGCCAAGTAATTGCCAAAGATGCAATCCTCTTAGGGCCTCAGGTAAAGATTTTAGTGTGCTAAACCTATTGGAGAAGAATCTTCTAGGGTTGTTCAAGATGGCTGAGTAGAGCCTGAGATAAGTGGACCAAAAGGAGATTTCAGTAATTACATTTAAGTTATGCCCTTAATTTTTTACTATTTATAGGTGCTTGCTGATAGGACATGAGAATCTATTGTAGCTAATGTTACTTCAGAGTATTTTATCATGTTTTACAGGAAAATCCAGTTTCTGTAAAGAATTCTTGCTGAACCATCAATACTTCTTCATTCAGGAAGAAAAAGCTGACGGCAACTATTACACATGACAACATTTATACTTGAAAGCTGTTTCAAGCTCCTGAAGTGAAATGCCATGGCAATGAAAACTATATTGAGTCTGTCCCCAGCAGGATAGAGAAATACCTGCAAGAATCTGTCCAGAGATACGTCTTTGTCTTTTGTTTTATTAAAATACTCCCAAAGATATAGGTCTCTTGACTACAAATAAAATGGAGGCCTTAGAAGTTGATGACATCAGTCCAGCCTTGGAAGTGACCGAAGACTTCTTCAGTACCTTTGATGCTAAGCTGGAAAATGTGCAGCCCCTGGAAGTTTATGGCATTCAGGAGATTCCTGAACTGGTTGGATGTGACGCATTTAATAAAATCACAGCCTGTGGAGATTTAAGGAACATTACTTCTTTAGGGAAGAATAACCTTGTTTGGGCACACTGCAAAAATGGAGTTTCAGAAACCAAAGTAGAGGCTGCATTTCCTGCCAAAGAACAGTTTAGAGTGCAAAAGGGAATGGTGCCAGACAATCTCTCCTGGGTTGAACAGGGAGACACTTCAGCTCTTAATATCTTTAACATCTGCCAGAAGAGGAAGAATCGGCCCCGTTCTGTGAATGATGTTATAGTCCAAAATGAAGAAACTTCCTCTTTCAAGCCAGGCCATAACCGGTCACATTCTGATATTAGTCACATAAATTGGGGCATCATCTTTAATAATGCCTCTCCACAACAGCTGTCTAATCAGGCGAGCCAGTGCTCTAAACATTCATTTACACCAACTGGATTCAAAAAGGGAAAAGATATTCCAGGGAATACTGGTAAGTATTAATATTTGGCTCCAACTCTCCAGCTCCCAGAATTCTCCAGCCAGCATGGGGAATTCCACAAGCATGGCTGGTTGGGGAAATCAGGAAGTTGAAGTCCACAGGTCCCAATTCTGGGAGTTAAAGTCCACAAGTCTTAAAAGTTGCCACGGTTGGACACTCCTTGTTGAGGAGTTTACAGCACTGATTTCTGAATTCAGTTTCCAATTCCACTCTACTTCATTGTGTATTCTTTAAATGAAAGAAGCAAGGGATATGAATAGATGTTGAAGAACACACTGAGAAAGGAAGAGTCATTGTCAGAATCTTACATTATAAATGATAATAGATAAGGATAATTGTGCAAAGCTTTCATACTCAATCCAGTAAAACTGCAGACACCACCTCTGTAGAGTATTTTAATTCATATATATAGTGACGTATGAAAATTATTTTTATTGATTGATTTTATTTATTAAATTTATATGCTGCCCATCTCACTCTGTAAAGTGTCTAAAAGCAAAACGGAAATACCTGGGTTGTTTTTGTTTGTTGTTATTTTCATTCTCAATTTCTTCCAAGTGGCCAAATAGTTAACATTCTGGGAAGATCAGTTTGCTTTATGCTTCCTTCCAAACTTTCTGTCTTGTTGCTGTTTGGAAATTCTTGCTATTATAGCAAATTCCTGGTAGTAAAAACTCAGCAGTATTAAACCGAGGGAGTAATGAGTCAAGAAACCTCTAATGCATTCACTAATGCATTAAGAAAAAAATGCTACCAATGCATGCTCATTCTAGATGTGATATTTGATGTCTTAGTCCTAATTTCTCTTATATGACAGAAAATTTCCTTTAAAATTATAGGCGGGAGGGTCCTTTATTTAAAGGTCTTCTCAATTGTTTATTTGCCTAACACCCAGGTTAGCCAATATCTTTGGCTACTTATGGACATGTTCAAGGATTCTGGAGAAATAAATGCCTTTTATTTATTTAATTAAATGCCATTTGGTCCTAATACCTAAGTAAAACCTCCATATTTAGAGACATTGGACCTCTAAATATGTGATGCTCAGGTGGGTAAAGAATGAGGAAGTATTATTGCTTTCTTCTTCATTTTGGAAACAACTAACTGGTAACAGCTGTAAATGGTTTGCTAAATTAGATGGACCTTTGGAGTGATTTAATAAAGTAATTTCACTATCATATGCAGACAATAACACTACCAAAAGATTGTGGACCATAAGAAATGGAACCCAAGTTTTGCTTACAGTATGATCTTTGCTTCTATTACCTGGAGAGGTTGTTAGAATACAAAGAAAGAGAGATCTTAGCTACTCTCAGCGAGCATTTCTGATATATAACATACATTACAAAAATTGTAATGAGACATAATAAAGAAAAGGGATATAATCTGTATAGAGAAAATTCTTACCCTGCTTTTTTCTCTGATGTTTCCTCCTTTGGGACTTGTTTCTCTAGAAATTACATTTCAAAAAAAAAAAAAAAGCTACCCCAGATGTGGGCAATTTAATGTGATTATCTCCTATTTACTTTCATGGGCTTTGATTTGCTCTGCTTCAATTGAATTTCCTTGTTCGGTGAAAGTAAAGAGAAATTTTGTTTCCCTTTTAGAAGCTAGAGAGAAAGCATTCCGTGACAAGGTATTATGTAGCTTTGGTGCATAAGGCAGGTGAGGTGGAACGGGATGTCTGATGGAAGGCAATGGTCAGGGAGCTGTGATCTGGCCAGCTTCTGCCAGCAACTGCTGCTCCAAAGAGTGTGCTGGATATGCATGTTAATCAAGTCATTCCTCACTATTGTTCCTGTTGAAGTGGGAAGCCAGTTCACAGTAGCTTGAGAGACAGTTGGTAGAAAAAATGACTGTCTGTAGAAGATTTGGGGGGGGGGAGGTGTGGATGGGAGGAAAGAGCTTTTGTCTTGCTTAACAAAAGACAAGCAAATCTCTGAGACAGTTTAAGGCAAGCAAAGAGGAGAAAACAGGGATGGATGTGGCATGAAAACTAGCACAACCTGAAGTGTCTTTTGTGCTTGATAGAAATTAGAACAACTGATGGAGTTGTAGTTGGATCTGCAGTAGCCATGCGGTTTCTCTTATTGGGTTAATAGAAAAGGAAGATGACAGTAGAATGTGTGCCCATTATCTACACTACAAAGGGGTGAGGGAGGGGGAGGCTCAAAGAATTAATGAGTTCTGAGTTAACACAGAAATTCTAATAAATCCTAGAACCAGAGAGGGAAGGCAAATAAAATTGGTTTTTACTTATACTGTATCCTTTTGTCTCATCGACACCTCTTTCCTTCAAATTTAAATTGAATTTAGTTTCTTTGTTGCCTGCAAATTAAATAAAACCTCTCTTTTTAGGGTTTTTTCAGGGAGGATAAAATACATGTTGGCAGAGCAGTCTTTTATTATTTGCTTTAGTTAAGTGTGATAGGAGAAACATATGGTGCCGTGTATTGGAATAGTTATCAGATTCAGTGGCCGAGGTTGGGGTAAAATGCACAAATTGAAAATGCAGACACATCATTAAAAATATTTCTGAAAACTATAGATGAGGTTCATTAAATTCTACAGCTGGATGGTACCCATTAGGCCGGTGTTTCTCAACCTCAGCAAAATAATAATAATAATAATAACAACAACAACAACAAATGCATATAAAGTCAAAATTGAGAAGACAGCAACAGACAGTAAGTGCTGCCTATGCAAAGAAGCTGAAGAAACAGTGGACCACCTGGTAAGCTGTTGCAAAAAGATTGCACAGACCGACTACAAGCAGCGGCATGACAAAGTAGCAACAATGGTGCATTGGAAGATCTGCAAAAAATATCATTTGCCTGTAAGCAAAAACTGGTGGGATCATAAAATAGAGAAAGTCATAGAAAATGATAAAATTAAACTGCTCTGGGACTTCAGAATTCAAACAGACAAGCACCTGCAACATAACACCCCAGACTTAACAATTGTCGATAAGAAAGACAAAAAAGTCTGGATAGTGGACGTGGCAGTGCCTGGAGATAGCAGAATAGAAGAGAAAGAACTGGAGAAGATAACAAAATACAAAGACCTACAAATAGAAATAGAAAGACTGTGGCAAAAGCAAGCAAGGGTAGTACCAATAGTCATAGGCTCCTTGGGTGCAATCCCAAAACAACTGGAGCACCACTTGAACACCATTGGCATTGACAAATTCGCTATTAGTCAATTGCAAAAGGCGGCCTTACTAGGAACTGCTTCCATCCTGCGACGATATCTGTAATACCATCAAACATCCACATCGCCTATCCCAGGTCCTGGATAAGGACTTGATAGGTAGACAAAATGCCAAATCCAGTCTGAACATCTGGCTGACTGTGCGATGATCCATAATAATAATAAAGTTGGAAGGGACCTTGGAGGTCATCGAGTGCAACCCCCTGCTCAGGCAGAAAACCCTACACCATTTTGGACAAATGGCTGTCCAGTCTTTTCTTAAAAGCTTCCAGTGTTGGAGCATTCACCACTTCTGGAGGCAGGTTGTTCCATTGGTTAATTGTTAATTGTTAATTCCATTGGTTAATTAACTTTACTTTGTGTGGACCTCAGCTCCCAGAATTCCCCAGCCTGCATCCATTCTGTTCAAAAATCTAAATGAAAGCTTTCCAGGCAGATGACTTTTAGTCTCTTTTGGGCACATAGCACAGTAAAGGGGAGCTCAACATCTTTTTGCTGTTTGGTTCCACCATCAAACTGCTGCTGTTACAGTTAGGATTTTTTTTTTCTATTGATCAGAATCTGCCTTCCTATGACTTAAATACCTTATTGCCTAAGAGGCGTTGGCTTTCATCTATGTGACATTTCAGTTAAAGAATGCCATTATATCCCCCCCCCATACCCATGCTTTAGCTAAAGGCTAAAATTACCAACTCCTTCCAACTCTCTTCATAGGACTAGTTTCTAGTCCTAATTTGTTATCCTATGCCACCAGCCCAGGACCACCTATACTCTTCTCTCACATAGTACCAATTAAGACATTTCTCAGCATATTTTGCATCACCACTGCCAGGCATTTGCCATTTTTAAAAACAATTTCCAGAAATTGCTCTTCCAGAAAGAATATCAAGCAGTTCTGTACGTGTTTACTAAATCCCATGGTGATCAGTGGTGCTTACTGTTTAGCAAATGTCGCTTAGGATTATGGAGTTTACAGTAGTAAGAAATGATCACAGCTTAAATGTAAATAATTTTAATTTACATGGTATGAGGAGTAATTTATAGTGACAAAGAGGTTCATCTTCCTACTGAACATTTACAAATTCTGTGAGAATATATGAAAATATTAGAATAATAAATGATTGTAGAAACATGTTTGCATTATTATATATCACCCACTAAACAAGTTCCTTGGACAATTTAAGAGTATTTTTTTAATTTTGTGTGTTTATATGTGTGTGTATATACACACAGTAACAATACTCTTATAGATATGGAAGAACGAGTGAGAGAGGTAGTTTGGGAAGTAGCTCTGAAGATGATCTTAAAAGTACTTATGGGAGAAGGAAGCCATGCAAATAATGCTCCAAGCCATTTAGGGATGTCCACTTTAATAGCTTTTCGAATTGGGTCCAGTAATAGCCTGGAAGCTACAGCAGATGGCAAAGAATAGGCATAATACAATAATTTCTGCCAGCTCCCATTAACATACCTTGTTGCCTATTTTGGATCAGTTGTTTCAAGATCCTTTGTAAGAGCAGCTACCTGTAATTCAAGTAAAAGGTTATCAAGGTGTAAGTTTGTAGCTCTAAATTGTCTTTGTGAAGAGGAGTGTTGTAGTAAACCTAACCAACCTCGATAAAAGATGCCCAGCCATTATGATTTCCTAAGCCAATAATGAACAACTTTTACTGGTCAACTTAAGCATTATAGAAATGTTTTAAAGCATTTATAATTACCTTTCTTCAAACTCTTTTCTAGAACACAAGCCTACATATTCAAATATCTTGAAGAAAGGGTATGTAGAAATTAAGAACAACCATGGCAGTTACTGGCAGGCTTTTTATGCAGAACTCTCTCCATATGAACTTTATCTGTATCAGCTTGACAAAAGCGGCAACCGGAACCTTCCAACAGTTTATCTGCTTTTGCACTTCCAAAGCATCAATGTGGAAACCAGTGTAGTTGATGCAGTCTTGTTCAATAATTTGCACCTGCAACTCAAAGCAGAATCACCTTGGGAAGCTTTGGACTGGGGGCAAAAGCTTCGGCAAGCTGTTCACTCTTCAGTTCCATCGTTTCTGAGGCCAAAAGGAGACTTGGTGAACTCACGGAAGTTAGATAATGCTGAGAGCAGCCTCATTCAAAACCATGGCTTACAGAAGGAACCTGCTGATTTTTTCCAGTTGACATCTTTGACCCCAAACATCAAGGATTACCAAAGTATTGTCAAATCAGGGATTCTTTACAGATTGACTCTCCAGAATAACTGGAAAGCATTCCATTTTGTACTCAGTGGGTCTCTTCTCATGGCATTTCAGATTGGTGGGCTTGATGAAGACCCTCTGTGGAGCTACAATATTGAGGCATGTGTCTCTGTTCAAACAGATATTCTAGATGATTGTGACTCTTGCTTTCAAGTGATCTTTCCTCAAGATGTGCTTCGTCTCCGTGCAGAAACCCTTCAAAGAGCTCAGGAATGGATGGAGGCTTTGAAGGCTGCAACCAGAGCAGCAAGTTTAGGGCAAAACCTGCAGGTGACACTTAGAAACAAAGTTCAAGGCTTATCTTGTGGAAAAGAACATAGGAAGACCAAGCGCCAGTCTGTCACCACCAGTTTTCTGAGCATTTTAACTACCTTGTCCTTGGAAAGAGGCCTGACTGCTCAGAGTTTCAAGTGTGCAGGTAAGTAATACAAAAAAAGATGTTTTGTTGTTCCCAAACCACTTCATTAATATATCTTTAGACTGCATAAGAGTGTCTCAGTTTGGTATTTTTGGTGTAGCGCATAACTTGATTGTTGTTCTGTTTGCAAATCGAGAGTTGGGATAATTTGAAACTCCACAGGCACTTCTTCCAAGGGTTCCCTAATAAATATTAATTGTGATAAATTGCCACCAATCAGTCTGAATTTGCTGATACACCCTGGCCAATGCAGCTGGGAATTCTTAAAATTTTCTCTTTAGCTATTAGAAAGAAAATGCTTTGTTTTATCTGGTCAAAATCAAGAATTGTGCTCGTTATGAAATACAAAGGGCAGCTATGCAGCCGTGTCATCTAGTGCATGGAAAGGTCAGCAACTCAGATTTCTAAATGTAAAAAACTAGAGACAAAAAAAAAATAAAGCAATCACACAATTTTAATGAAAAAATATTTATCTTTCACATTTCTGAACATCCCATCTTCCTCCAAATGGGACTCTGAGCAGTGTACTATAAAACATCAAAATGTAAAAACCGTATATAAAATTAAAATATTACAACTAAAAATTCAAAAGGAGGCAAGAATAATAAAACCCTGTTAAAATTAACTTTAAAAGGTGAAGGGAGAGCTCTCGTGGCACCAACCAGCCCCACGGTCGCTTGCTCTTTTGGGCTTCACAGAGCTGTGTTTTAACTCCTTTCAGAAGGCCAGGAGAGCCGGGGCCCACCTCCCCTCCTGGGGGAGAATATTCCACAGGGCAGGAGCAATGGAGAGAAGGCTCTTTTCCTAGGCCTCACCAGTCAGGGTTCTTTAACTGATAGGGTCTGCAGCATACCTTCATCTCCTTACAAGAAACTGGATGACCACAAGATGGTAGCAAAAGTAAGTAGTCTTTGTATTTCATGTAGTAGTCAACCAGATTTTCCCAGCCCAGGTATGATATAACTCTATTGTGCCCATCTGATTTATGAATAGCTTTTTATAGAAGGAAAGGTAGATTTCTATGCTCTTATATATAACATTTTGCCAACTTTGTTGTACTTTGATTTTCAAATATTTCAAGTGTATTTAGTACACACAGAGTCATCCAACATCCAGTTACAATGAATTATTTGAATACAACTTTTCTTTGGCCTTGCAACTTTTTATGAATCAATCAGTTGAAAGTAAAATACCGTATTTTTCCATCTATAAGATGCATCCTTGTATAAGACACTCTGGCATGCGAGTGTCTCCGCGCCGATCAACTCTTGGGCGGAACACCGAACAACTGAGCCGGCAAATCCGGAAGTTCGCCCAACCAACGATCTTGCCCCCTCCCCCCTCCCGTTAGTGGCAAGCCCACAGGGGCTTGACACCTGCACCAGGGGGCATGGCAGTGGCATGTAAAGAACCCACATAGGCATGCCCTGGGCTACGGAGGTTACCATTATTTTTTCGTGTATAAGACGCTGCTCTTGTATAAGACGCATCTGATTTTTGAACAAGGTGTTTGCAGGAAAAAATAGCGTCTTATACACAGAAAAATATAATAGATTACTGCTAATACTAATAGAAAATTTCTTCAAATTAGAGAAAAACAGTCTGTAAGCTAGACACATAAATGAGTGGAAGTTCTGTTGTCCTCTTTCTGTTAGTTTTTTTACATAGTTTGATTAGAGCAACAGTCCCCAACTTTTCCAGCTTTTCAGACGGGGGGGGGGGATGGAGAGGAAATGGTTCTACATGAGTGGTGGACAAGCGCACACAGCTCCATTTGCGCTCACCACTCATACATGGAACCTCATGCATGCGTGTCAGTACCCGCTACTCGTACAAATGGAGCTGTGCGTGCAGCCCGCTGCTCACGTGGCCCAGTCCCTGGAACAGGGGATCCCTGGACTAGAACACGAGCAGAGATTCTCACCTTTCCCATTAACATTGTTTTTGGAAGATTGCAAATGGCAATCACGTTAATAGACGATGCTGCAATTGTTATAAATGTGCGACAATTGCCTAGCATCAAATTGCAATCTTCCTCCTGGTTGGGCCAGTCTCTCTCTTGACTACATTATACCTCTTTCTGCAAGCAGTTTGCTTCCAGGTGCAATTCAGGGTCCTGATTTTGATATTTAAAGCCCTACATAGTGTGAGAGGGATGGCCTCTTCCCAGATACATCTACCCATCCTATCAGGTCAGGCAGGAAGAATATGCTACAGGTTCCATTCTCAAAAGAGCTCCATTTGGCAGGACACAAGCAACCTTCTGTTTCTGCTATGGCCTCTGTGCTCTGGAACATCATTCCCCTGAGGTGAGGTTAGCCTCATCTCTTATTAGCGTTCTGGTTTGAAAGAGGGCTAAAAGTTAAAATTAAACAGTCCTCTCTCAACAGAGTGGAAGGGATAGACACCACCTATCTCCTGTTTACAACATAATCCTTTCTAGCAGTTCCAAGAACATTTCACATTCATTTGCACTGTGATTCAGGTGACCCAAGGGCACAAATAAACCCCCAATTGGCCTCAACTACTCTCAGAGAGCTAATGACTGACCTTCAGAGTGTTAACGACCAAATGACTGCAAGGAATACCAAATAAGACCCAACCAGAAAATAAGGCGTAGCATGATTTTCAGAATGCTCGTAATAAAAGCCCCACTCCAAAAATAAGCCCCCGTTAAGATTGTCAGCCAGACGGATGCATTTAGTACCGTATTTCCCCCAAAATAAGACTAACCGGAAAATAAGCCCTAATGCGTCATTTGGAGCAAAAAATAATATAAGACGTCTTATTTTCAGGGAAATCCTTCCATTCCCACCATTCAGTCAAGAAGCTTCTTGGATGAGAAGCGAAATGTCTTCAAGGAAAAATAAAGTCCATTTCCCTTTTGTAAAAGCACGTTTTGGATTTCCAGCAGACCTTAAAATATTGTTTTTTCACCAGTTTTTGAAATCCAGGGCTTTCAAGATGACTGTATGAGATTAAATGATTTTGTTCTCTCACTTTCTGGAATTTTATTTGTTTATTTTATAACAAAATATTTTGTTATAAAATAAACAAATAAAATTCCAGAAAGTTATAAAATAAAATATTTGTTATAAAATAATTTTATTTATTTACATGTTTTTTTTATAATTTTAGACTTTTGTAGAGTTTTTAACTGTTGTATATACCATGCAAGGTCACCAGTTTGTGAGATGGGCAGCTGTATAAATATGCTAAATAAATACATAATAGAGCCCCGAATGTCATTTTGATGCTCCTGATATAATCCTGGATAAGTAGACACATTACACTAGTATTTTGAGGTTTGATTTAAAGAAATCTGAACCTTTGAATAGGAAGTTAAGATAGATATTGAGTAGAAATTTGAGGATGAAGTACTAATGCTGCACTTTATGTCTAGAAATGTAAGGAATTGCTGTTTCCAGCAGGGGGCTATATCAATAGATTGTCTTGCTTGTAAGAGCGACCAAAGTTTGATACATGCATATAACACATACATATGCACATCTACACACATGTACACACACACATAAGTCAAGAAAGCCAATTTACTTATTAGTAGAGCCTGAAAGATAAATTAGGCATTTGTATTAATTGAAAAATAATACTTAGCTACTAAATAACTTTTGTGTGGGGAAATGAAGAATACTACTTTTTCATATGCTAGATTTTATTTAAGGATACATATACATTAATTCCTGTAGAAATATAAAAATGTGCTTATTTTAATAAAGTGGGATAAAGATTATAATGTTAGGCTGCAACTAAGCATTCCTAAGAGCCTTTATTCCCCTTATTTAAAAGGGGGATTTCCTTCTGCATCTTTTTCAGAGGGAAAATGTATTGCACGGAATTCAAGAGTGAGAGGCTGACTTGTCAGTGGTTGGTGGGACTGTTCTGCTTCTTTAAGAAAGCCTTCTTAAAGGGCTTCCAATTTCTTGTTTTCTTTGTTAGGAAACTATAACCTGACCATGCCAGATGGTTTGATCAATTAATAAGTTTGAAGCGAGGAAAGGGGAGGAAGAAAGTCTCATTCCATTGCAAGAATGTAGTTGTAATGGCTATTAAAGAAGAAAATGAACAAAAATACAGACAGTATTCTTGGCAACTACTGCCTTGCCCTATTTTCTGCATTTTTTTAAAAAAAAACTTTTTAAATAATAACAGGAGCTAATATGCTGCAAAGCAAGTGCAAACTCCAGCATCATATTTGTTTTCAAGAGTATCTCTGAACCTCAAATGAATTCCATACATTTCCTTTTAAATAATGATGGATGGTTGCAGCCTATTATTTTAATTGGGATTTTATTCCTTTATTTTGATGAATAGGAAGAGTAAGCCAAGGAAATATAGGTAGTATTATTCAGTGGGAAAGCTAGAGGGGTTGACAATGACAATCCAGTAAATTAATGTCTTATAACTGGCTGTATCCTTGTAGCACATAAACACGCATATACGTACTTCAACAGGCATAACTAGCTAACAAAATTCCATATGTATCCAGGAGCTTAAGGTGGGATTCTAACATTATTTTGGCCCCATATAAAGAGCTGTATAATCCCCAAAATAATTTAATATAATTAATACAATGTAGTTATTATTAAGCACTACATTAAATTATTTTCAGTGTAATAGTAACAAGCCAAGGGAGAGGAGACTGTAAACAGTGATTGCAAAATGTCTTCATTGGCCTTTTTCCATTTAGAAAGATTTTGTCTGTCTTGTCCTCATAGGGTGACTGTTTAACCTACCAGGATTGCTACTGGTAATTGCATTTTGTAGGCATTAGGCACACCAATTCCTCCTCCACCCACCCCCCATACCCTTACCCATCCCACCCCACCCCCACAGCTGCAAAAGTGGAGTAAGCTTTGTGTAGATAAAAAGTTTTGCTGCAAATTCTTCAGCCATTTAGTGCAAATTCCTGTAATTACCATCATTGTGTCCTGTCTGAATGGTACATAATACAGCAGAAGCCTTTCCTAATTGAGACTTTA